TATACTTATCCTTTTCATATAGTAAAAAATGTATGGCATGATTAACACGATATAAAAGTTTGGGAGTTTGCTCTCTCGGTGTACCCTAAAGTCATTACTTTTCGTTTAAATATTCTATTTTGTTAACATTTTAGCTTTAAATATCTTTTAAATATCTTTTTCAGAATTTATATTGCTGTAATAATTTTAAGAGGAATCTTGTATTAAATTTTCAAGCTTTTTGATTTAACAAACATATTTTTTTGACACTAAGTCTATTGTTACTATAGAAACAAAATTGTAGTAACATAGTTAAAAAAATATGTAAATTTAATATATTAACGTAGGTACACGTTGAATTTGTAGAATCATCATTTAAAAAAAAATTAAACAGTCGTAATGAAAAATTACTTTTAACAGATAAAAATGAATACAGACCTGAATCAGGATGAAGCGCTCCTCCTCGAACAGCAAAAGTTGAATGCCGAACTGTCAGAACTCCGGGAATGGATCGATACGAGAATGACTAAGCAATTGATGTTGCACGAACAGATGGTGGTAAATTACGATCGGATGTTAACAAAATGCTACGTGTACAAAGAGGAATTGGAACGGAATCGCACGGAAAACGCACGTTTCAAGTTCACTTCACAGTGTTTGATGGACAAGATCAAAGAGTTGACCAATAGTGATGTCAAAAAATCTTTAATCGACCTCGAAAAAGACGATAATGTTAACGATCACGATAAAGATAACGATACCGATGCCGATCCATTAACTGCATACATGGAAGTGAGTCTTATATACACTTAAAAATTATAACTCATTAATGTCTATAGAAATAAAAATACATATTGTTATATTATTGCGTATAATATAATATCTAATAATATTTATTTATTCCATTAGATAACAATATTACAATAAAATTATAATGATAATAATAATAATTATTATTATTATGATTATTATGATAGTAGTACTTAACAGTAATTGGTCACCTTTAAGGCTTAAGACCAATGTACGGAAGTTAGATGTTTGATATGTCTACATTACTTGTAAATATAAAAATATATAACTACATGCGCTAATTAGTATCTACTTTTACTAAAATAAGCTATATAGCAACAAATGAAAAGATAAATAATTATAAATATATTATATTATGTGACAGTATTGTAATTATTATTGTGGATAGAATAAATAAATAAATAAAATATTAATTAATAATAGCATAATATATTGATTAATCATAATACTATAAAATGCGATTAAAAATACATACCTCAAAAATATAATTCTGGACTTCTGGTATATAATTATATAAGTTGTATGATATGATAATTGTACAAAGTTTAATACATCGCATGCAGTGGTGTAACATATGATTTTATAAACTTTTCGTTGAAAATTTCTGCAATATACATAAGTGTTTCTATTTAAATTTTTTCCGACGTTTTTCAACAACTCATTCGTCATCAATGTTTACAATAGGAATTACGTCCTATATGTTTCAAATATTTAAGAGATGATTCCCAGGTATATCTTGTCGTACCCTATAAAGTTGTAAAATATTAAAAATAAAGCAAGAACTTTCATACATTTACATATTTTTTTCCAGTCAATTTTATCATATAATTAATGAAAACAAAATAAAATTCACTAAGTTTGTGATCAACACTATTTGAACAATTGCGTATAATTAATAATGATTTTATAATGCATCTAAAATATTTGCTCTAATTATCAATATTATGTGCTACAGATGTGTACCAAAAAGTTGATAGAAGAAGTAAGTGCATACAAAGAACAGATCGAGAAGACATCCATAGAGTTGGACGATATCAATAACCAGCTAGCCAAGTCGGCAAAAATGGAAGACTGCCTAAAGAGATGCGTGGACAACTTGACTGTGTTGGCCGAAGCAGAACGAATGAGAAGAGACCGAGAAGAGTCAGAGCTACGGAAGACGGTGAACCAGCTGACGGCTAAACTGGATGAGGTTCAGCAGGAAAAGGACCGATTGCGGTCGGTCGAAGCTAAGATTTCGGTAGAGATGATGCACCACGAATCTGCGCAGAACGAAGCGTTGCGTACAGAAAACGCCCGGCTGCAGGCTAAACTGGGAGCTAGTGGAATTGTGGTAGCCACGCTGCAATCGAGGGTGTTTGACCTGGAGAAGGAGCTGGCCGAGCAAACGGATGCAGAGCACATGCAACAGGAACAGAGTCAGGTCCCCGGTTTTGGTGGTGAATTGATAGACGGCGGATCGTCTACATCTCTGATACTGTACCAGTGTAATCTGTCCCGGGCGGGTGACGAAAAAGTGGCCAGTTTTTCAGACCTAGGACGCGGTGATGACCAAACAATACCGTGTTTGTTATCGATCAAAAGCTCCGGCACTACTGCCGAAGACATTCAACCGTCTAATCCGCAGCTGACCAATGACGACCATCAACCATCGTATTTGGATTCGACCGACGAAGACCGCCAACTGTCGTATTCGCTGTCATCTACTATGGAAGACTGCTGTACCGAGACAACCTCTGAACCATCACAGGCAAAATTAAAAAATAACCGTTTGGATTACTTAATACAAAAATACGAGAGCAAGCACGAAGACATTTCTAATGCATTTCATAATCAGAAATAATCGTAATTTAATTTTTTTATTATTATTATTATTTACTGTTCGAGTACTTAGTTAATCCACTGCAAACACTGAACTACAAGTCCGCGTAAAGTCGTAGTCTCAGCAACAAAAACGTCCAACTCAACCGATAGTACGAAGAGCTTTGAATAACATTTTACATGGGCATATGGTATTTTAAATAAAATCGAAAATAAAGTTCATAATTCATTATTTATCCAACATAGGATTCACACAAGTGTATGTGTGTGTGTGTAACATACATGAAACAAATAATAGGTAGGTTTTATCAGATATACAAAATCAACTTCATTTTTAATGAAGTTTGTGAGATTGTCTTATTCTCTATTTTATCACAATAATTGAATAGTTTATAAGTTATAACTATTCATTTAACAAGCAATCATTTCTTTTCATTTTTATACCTATTAAAAATAAAAATCAACCGAGGTATTTATAATTTTATGTTTTTAAATAATATTTATGAAGTGGTATAAATTACACATCTATAAATATAAAAATGGAGCCAAAAATGTATAACAATTCATCAATTGAGAACGGCTGGGCCGATTTGGCTCAAACATTTTTTTAATTGTTCGTAATTGCCAGGAGAAGGTTTTTACGAAAAAAAAATTTGGAAAAACTTTTAACACCCGCACCACAAATACTTTTTAATATTTAACGTGTAAATTATATTATTATAATAATAATAATATATGATTATATTATTATTATTATTATTATTATTATAGTTTTATTATCACTCTAAAGTTTATCAAAAAGCATTAAGTTCGCCGGGTCCACTTAATATTTAAAAAAACTTTTTGGCAAAACAACGTTTGCCGAGTCAGTTATTATTTAATATTTTATAATAATTCTAATTATTATTAAATCGTTTATACTGATTGAAATGTACAGAAATAATACAGAAATACATTTAAACGCTTTTTATAAAAATATTTGTTTTACCATTTAAATGTTTTTCATCGATATTTTTGTCGAAAATATAGTCATAAACATTAAACCACAATTTACTGAACTAAAATAAACTATAATAAATTAACATTCTTCTCTTTTAGTACTTTTTTGGTAATAATTATTTGAAATTGATTAATTAAGTCCATAATTAATTTAATTCTTGTTAATAATTGCTTTAATTCCTTAAACTACAAATGGAAAAAAACGTTAAAATTATTTTATATAACATTATAGTTCACAAAAATGCTGTTAAAAAAAATTTTCAAACCATAATTCGATTAATTATATTATTGTATTATATGTTATTAATTATAACATTTTATTTATTTATTTTATCTTGTTTTCTAAATTACCGTGAGAATACATATACAATTTATAATATGCTTGAAAATATTAAATTGGGCTCATTCAGATAATTATTTATTATTTTTTTAAAAGAGAGTCTGTTTAAATAAATAGCATATATACGATATTACTAATATATTTATTATCAACTCAGTTGTGCACTAACGGATCATAATATTCGTGACGCGCAGCACCACATTATTAATATAATAAAACTATCCGCTTTCTGAATAGAAAAATTGACAACCGAATGAACACACGATATCAATAGCCGATGCTCAGTAAAATATTACGCCCGATTTGACGTGCGACTGACGACTTAAAATGCTTGTAGGCAGTGGAGTAATTCGAGTGTTGTTACAAGGATAATCGAACTATAAAGTGTGAACAAATTTAATTCGATGTTTCTTACGATATTGAAACATAAACTTGTAATAGGCATAAAATCATAAGAACTCCAAAATTAGATAAAAACTTATAATTTTCAAAAACTTCTTAAAATTTATAACTCTTAAGTTAGACTTCATTATTCGCGCCACGATCACAGAATAGCAATCCTTATGATTAGTATTTAATATATATCTATTGATAAAATGAACTTAGATAAAAACTACTCAATACCTACTCATCAAATGTTCAAAATCACACAGTAATATTAATTCCTCACGACCACATATATGTAAAATATTATAACTCTGTACCTAATTAAAGACATTTTATTTAGTTTATAGTACCTTTTATTTTATGCAAAATATTATTTTACTTTTAGATTATAAGATTACAAGTGACGATGATTATATTCTAACTGTTGAGTATAATCAAGCCACTTGTATTAAACAAAAACGTAAGACTAGATTAATTTAAATTCATATATTTATATTTATTTTTTTTTAATCGCTATAGTTAGTACTCACTTTCAAATAAAAAAATGTGGTAATATACAAAGTAATATACTAGTAAAAATTTTAATCTCTTTGTTTTTCAATTTATTTATAATATTTTAATTGTAATATATTTTTTAATTATATTAATTAATAACAATTATGATAAATTCGTGAACAAATAAAACATTTAAAGTAATATGTTTTTTAAATGTATTTATATTTTGGATATAAAATTGCAAATACGTCAGTTATACAATTTATATTAATTAAAAGCAATTGATCATGAACTACTTAGCATATGGTATAAAATGTAATGTTTTTATACTCGGCTGAAAATTATTAAAATACTTAAAAACGGTTATAATATACATGCTCAAATAAAACAAAATAACAATGATCTTTGGGATAATGAAACGTATAATTTCATTATTAATTGGCTAATTATTTTTGACGATGGTTTATTGGACTTAAAAAATTAAAATGATTGCCCACAAAACCTTTTTCTATTCTAATATATATATACCGATTGTTCACTAACTTAGGGAACACTGAATTTCTTGACCAGATTATATTGAAGTAAATCGAATTTTTTTTTACAGGCTAGTGGTTTATAAATTGTTATTATTTTAGTACGGGAATGCGCAATAAAAAATATATTTTCTTAAATAGCAACACCTATTTTAAACACCATATTCAGATAGACTCAACTTTTTAAGGTAATTTTGATGTATTATGTATTAACTATAGCTCTAAATTAAAAATTTACTGGATAAAATTCATTTCAACTTTAATAAATAATACATTTTTACGATTCATTTAAATGCATTAAACCATTTATAATTATTTATTGTTGGTTACTTTTTGAATAATTTTGCGTACTTTTTTTTTATACTTGTTATAACTTATAAACAAGATAAATATAATATGGGCATAAATGTATTTTATAAATGTATTAAATATCAATTACAACAGTTATTTTATAATTATACAATTAATTAAATAAATTGTTCAAAGTTTGCTTCGTTATTTTCGACGCATAATTGAAAACGTTGTAGAAATTCTTTATTGATTGCTAACATTTGATTTTCGGTTAAGTTACTTTTTATTTTATTTTTTAAATCTGCTAAATTAAGTAATAACTGGTGGATCTTTGTATATTATTGTTTTCAAATGTCCCCATAAAAAAAAATACGTACAAATGTTCAAAAATTAACCAATAATAAATAATTATAAATGATTTTATGCATTTTAATGATTCGTAAAAATGTATTATTTACTGAAATTGAAATTTAGACCTATCCGAATGTGGCGTGTGAAATAAGCGTTGCCATAAAAAAAAAAAAAAAAAAATGTTTTTATTGCACATGTGCTTACTGAAATGATGAAAACTTTGAAATTTATCTTTAAATGTGTATTTATATACCAATAACTTGTAAAAATAAAATCTGATTTATCCCAATTTAATCTGGCAGAGAAGTTCAGCGATTCCTAAATTAATGAAGAGTGAGCACACAGTATACACATAAAGTAATATCTAATTTTTACACATGCATTTTACAAGTTAGTGAGCTGAACCTACTTGGAGATGAAACATTATCAATAATAATCAACATGATTTTGAAAAAGTTTTTGATAGTAAAATCTTAATAAAGCTTATATATTATGATATGAGAAACAAAAACAATTTTCTTATTTTCATATACTAACCACTAACAAGGCTATTTTTAGTAATTAATTTATAAAAATTTTACATTTTTTGAATATTCCGTGTTAATTACTTGGTTATTAATATTAGTTTAACAATTTAAAGACGTCATGAAAAATAATGGTCATATAAATATCAAGTTTAGAAATAAAATGTATTTTACACATTTTATTAGTTTTGAAATTTCGTATTTGGACATTTTTAACTATATTTAAATTAACCTTAGTCATACTTTGGTTGCTCTCTAGGTTAGTATAAGAATACTCAAATATAGGTACTATACTGTAAATTTAAATTTTATCATAACAACTAATGGATCTACAAATTTGTAAGAAATAGTACATTTTTTAGATTTCGAGCTGAATAATTTCATATTTTTTATTTTTTCTATGTACGTAAAGGCAAAATGCTAAGATATTTAACTTTGAATGTGATTCCTAGAAGTAATATGAATCTAGTTAGTACTTTTGGATGGTAAAAATAAAAATATCTCTGTTGTTTTCATAGTTATCAAGAAAAATTAATAAAAAATGTAATTTTTATACAAAATTATATAATTTTTGATAAAATATAATATAGTTCATTTTTTTTTTTTTTTTGAAATTCAAAAATAAATAGTTTATAGAGATTTGGTGTTTTCATAAAATATTAATATAATTCGACAATTAAAATTTTGAAAAAATTTGAATATTTTAACATGAGGTTTCTCATAAGATTGTTTTAGTGGATTTAAAAAATATCTTTATTCTTACATGGCTACATTTCCTTTTGAAAATCAGAAATTCTAAACTTACGATATTACACAGAATACGTTTAAATATTATTAGATTAATTCATTTTAAATTCTGATTGGAATGATGACCATTCAATTTATCATATTGTATTTGTTTTTTGTTTTTTTTTTTTTTTTTTGGATAAATATCTACACTATAATTTTTTGATAAATTGCTTCAATTTTCATAAAACGAGGGTGGTTTTAAACATTATTTTAAATCTAGTCTATACTTTTACGAAATCTAACTTAAAAATTCTCAGAACTTATTTTTATAATTGGGAAAATAAATAAAAAATTCAGAGAAAACAGCAATCTT